TCGCTCGAGTCCAACAGATGGAGGATACGTGCATGGCGTATCACGAAAGCTTCGAGGTGCTCGGAAACCTTGTTGGAACCCCACCGGCAGGCATGCTGCCACGCTACCTACCACGCTGCCATGCCACGCCAATGTCGCTTGATTTTGCCGCTTGAATTTCCCGCTTAAACCCGCTCCGACGTATTCCAACGATCCGGAGCGCGGGGTTCATCGTTGAAGTCGGGTTCGGTCTTGCTGGCGCTTGGGCGAACCCCCGCGGGGAAAATGCCGCCGTCGTAGTCAGCTTTTACTGTGCAGTCATCAAAGCACACCAGTCAGTCTAGTCCGTCTGCTCGCTCTACGAAGCCTCCTCTTGCGACTCAGTTCAACAACGAGGCAAGACCCCGGCGCCGGCCCGTGAAGGTTCGCATGCACATCCGTCGGCAGACCCCCGAAACTGCTCGGTTTCTCGTGTCGGTAATTCATTGTCCCATTTTATGTAATTCCCATCCTATCATACCTATACTACACTCCGCCGAAATAGACGCAGACGCTTTTATAAAATTCCGGCCACCTGATGGCTGTACTTGCAATTCCGTCTGCCCACCTCTGATATACCCAAGTCCAGTCTTTGAGCCATTATCTGCCTCTACTCGTCGTCGTCGTCTGCCATGCTGGTGTCTGCTGCTGGACGTGCCTCGTCGTCAGAGTGAGCGTCGGCACCGTTCTTGGTCGGACCCTCATCTTCGTCTTCCTCGTCACTGTCAATGACTCTGCCCCTTCTTGACCGTGAGGCCTGCTGCCGCCTGCTGCCGCCTGCATCTTCATCGTCGTCTTCATCGTCGTTCTTATTGTCCACATCCATGCGGTCATCCTCGTCGCCATTCTTGTCTCCAGCGTCGGATAACGGAGAGCTGGCCTTCTCAAGAGCCCTTTCTGCGCGCTCGAGAGGATCCTCATCGTCATCGTCGTCGTCGCTGTCCACGACGATTTCGGCGGACTTGTACTTGGTGTTGTTGACGGATTCCTTCTTTGTGAGACGGCGCTTCTTTTTCGTGGGACGTTCCTCTCCCGATTCGTCGCCATCGGTTTCCGCCCTCTTCTTGCGAGACCCTCTCTTTGGACGACTTTCACCATCGCCTCTCGGCGCCGGCTTCTTCTTCCGCTTAACCTTCTCGCCCGTTTCCTCGTCTGTGGTCATCTCAGCCTCCTGACGAGCCTTGTCCTCTTCGGCGCGGCGCTCGGCAATCTCTCTGTCCCTTGCCGCAATCTCCTCTCTTTCCCTCTTGATCTTCTCTTGCTTTTCTCGCTCCTTCTCCAAAGCCTTCTGGCGCTCCTCTTCGCGCCGGCGAAGCTCCGCTTGACGTTGTTCAAGTGCGGCTTGTAGCTTCTCCTTGTTCTTCTCCTCGTACTCCTTCTGGCTGGCAATGGCTCTTTCGAGCTGTTTGCGTTGCGTGTTGCGAGCCATGTTGGCACGCTGTTCGACGTCATGCTTGGGATAGGGAGTCTGGGGATGGCCAGCAATCTCGTCCAGCGCTGAGATGGCAGCCTCGAGACCAGCGGCGGCGTCCTGAAGTTGCGCTACCGTGCGCTGGTTCTCACTCAGCGCATAAACCATTGTCGCCATCTGAATCTGCACAAACGCAACGTTGAATTTGTAGTGGACTTGATCCGGAGCAGCTTCAAGAGCCTAAACGTCATAGAATTAGCATTGCCGTTAGTAAAGCTTCGGAGGGGGCAGGTTACCTTCTTGGCATAGTCGAGGGACTGTCGGTAAGCATCCAGATCGCGCTCGGAACGGCCCTTATTGAGCCAAGTGCGGCCTAGGCAAGCAAGAATGACGGGGTCATTGGACTTGCCCTCCTTCGACAGCGCCGTCTCGTAGTTCTCGATGGCCTTGGTCCATTGCCTCAGCTCAGCGTAGATGTGGCCCAAGTTGACGTAGACATGAGCATCCTTGATGGTATCCCTGATCTTGACGAAGATGCCAAGTGCCGTCTTGTAGTCCTTCTTGTCCTCCACCAATGCAATGGCAATACCTTGTGCTGCGTAGGCGTTCCTGGGATCCAGAGAGAGGGCCTTCTCGAAGAACTCAACCGCCTTGCTGTACGTTGCGCTCCGCTTGGCTCTGTCACTGTCCGACTCGCGGCGCATCTCTCGCGCCTGGATCAGATACAGGTTACCCATGCCGACCAGAGCGTATCGGTCGTGCTTATCATAGTTCTGCAGAGTGTGCTTGTAATGGCGGAACTCGTGGTCCTCGTTGATGTTGTGTGGTCGCTTGCGCGAGTGGACTTTACCCATGTACCAGCCATACAGAGCGCGAACCTCGAGGTCTTGCGGGTTCTCCTGGTACAGCTTCGCGACGGCATCCGGGCCTTCCTTGTTAGGGTTTTTCCTGAGTTTGATATATGCCAGTCGTGTCCGAGCGTCGGTGTAATCATCATGGCGCTTGAGCAAGCCGTCGTAGACCTCAATGGCCTCGTCGAGAAGCCCACGAGACTCGTAGCTGCGGCCGAGGTTAAAGCTGATCGTGGTGACGAGAGCGTCAGTGTCAATCTCCGAATCCTTCTCGCCGATCTTCATGCAAGCGCCCAGGGCAGCCTCAAACATCTCACTAGCTTGCTCATGCCTCTCCGACTGAGAGTAGAAGCAGCCGATGTTGTTGAGAAGTTGTGGTGGCAAGAACTTGCGCAGAGCAGCGCGCTTCTCGGCTTCATCGTCGATATCCTTCGGTTGCTCCTCCTCAGGAACCTGCTCGAGCTCAAGTTGCTCAACTTGGAGCAGACACTGCTGAGCCTTGTCCGGGTACTCGGTCTCATAAAGGCGAGCGAGATTGAGGAGAACCGCGGCATCGGGAGACATGCTCTTCTTGGAATCCTTCCAGGCGCCTCGGACTCCTTCAAGAAGACCAATTGCCTTCTTCATCTCAGCCGACTTATCTTCCTTGCCATCGGCGTCCTGGTTGGCAAAAACCTCCTCGGCGTACAGAGTTCCCAGCAATATCATGGCCTCGTGGCTTTTGGACTGCTGAATGATCTTCTCCAGACGCAACTTTGCCTCGCCCAAGTCGCCTCTCAACACGGCGAGCTGAGCAGCACCAAACTTGGCCGGCAAGTATCCACGTTCAGAACCTCCACGAGCGTCGTCAGCCCGACGATAGAAGTCACTTGCACGGTCAGGGTCGCCCGTGTAGTGTTCCTTTCGTGCCAGCAGGTACCAGCCGTCGCTAGCAATGGCGTTGACATCCGTGTATTGAATCGCCTTGTGCGCGAGAGAGTCGACTGTAGGCAGCTGTTTGCGGGAAAGGAAGTAACCAGCGAAGGTGGCGCATGTGAGAGGCATATTCTTGTCGAGCTTGAAGGACTTTTGTGTGTATTCGGTCATGGCCTTCTTGTAGAGACGAAGGAACTCAGGACTGTTGGTGGGAATATGGCCACTGGCGTCGAGATAGTAGAGACCGAGAAGGATGTTGCCGACCTTGTGATCGGGGTTGATCTCAAGAGATCGCTCCCACGCTAGCTTCGCGTCATCCTTGAAGCCAAGCTGCCAGAAGCAGCATCCAATGCCGATTCTCGGATCGGGGTCGACAAAGTCTGGCATCTTCTGCAGAACATCTTGGTAGCATGCCAGAGACTCAGGATACTTTCCGAGCGAGAAGAAAGTGCGCGCCTTTCCCATCATCGCCAACATATTCTTGCCTCCGGAAACTCGAATCGCGTCTTCGAAAGCCTTCAGTGCCGATCGCAGAAGGTCTGCCCTCTCGGAATCAACCTGGCCGTGCCCAGCCGTCTTCGGCGTCTGCAGCGATGCCTTGAGCAACTGGAGAACACCACGGGCGAGGAACAGGGGAGGGAACGCGGGGTTGATGCGCGATGCATCGTTGAGTGTCGAAGTTGCCAGTTGCAGGTAGTATTCTTTCGTCTTTGCCTCGGAGGCTAGCTCGCCATCGGGGGGCAGGCGCGGCGCCTCGCGACTCTTCCACAGGTACATCCAGCAGAGGCAAGAGATCATGCTAAGCTTCTCCTTGGGGCCGTTATCGCGCATCGCGTTTCCACCACGGACCAGCATTTCGATGGCATGGTCGATCTTCTTCTGCTTGGCGTAGGCCAGCGAAACGGTCATCCAGTAGGTACGAGCGGCGCGCTCATTTTCGAAAAGGGTGCAAAGTTCGGTCGGGTCGTCGAATAGCTCGAGGAGATCGATTTCGACGGCCTCGTCTTCGGCTTCGCCCTGAACAGGAACGTCGATGGCAGCCGGTATGTCAGAGAACCGTTTGCTGACTGGCGCACTCGTTGTGCCATTGGCACCGTTCATCGCGCCGTTCCGGTGGGCTGACATTGTGGCGGATGAGAGGCTATGACATGCCTCGGATGGATATAGCGATGGGATGGGTTGACGAGAAAGAAGTAATTAAGAAATTCGGGGGAGCTGGGATGAGGCTGAGGAAAGGATCACTCAGTCGCGTTGGCCTTGCACTGGTGGGTCTGGAAAGACGCTAGTGGGGCTCTCCTGCATTCACCGAGCTGCTGTCAATGTGTGCTTTGATTGGCTGATGTCTCTAAAGTAGACAGCACTTCTTAATGGCTGGACTCTACGCGTTTGAGTCAGGTACTTGAGACATAGTGAGCTCACTTACACGCACCTACAACTACCAAGTAGTTGGTCGTTCTTTCCCTTCTAGCATGAAGAACGAAGAAGGATATGAAGGTGAAGCTTGGGTTTGATGGAATTGCTAGTGAATATTATATCTAAGTTTGATTTACAGTCCAATTCATGTGGACGCTGCGTAAGACTTTTTTTCAACAGTGAAATGAGAGAGGTTTGAAACGGAAAGAGCGCAGTGATATACGACTACTCCCTCTTGCCCATTCAACATTGCTCCCACTCAAGGTCCTGAAAAACTGTCTCTCTGATATCTTATTTCAAGCCATATGCAGTCCCCTCCCACTCCTCCTCATCTCAAATCAGAACGCTTCCACCCTCATCAGCGACCCGACTTGAGATGTGAAAACTCCGTCATGCCAGCCATCTCTTCATCCGAGGCGAGACTCAACTCTTGGGTCCTCAGATCACATTTAGAAGATTCCAGTCGACTTTCCACACGGCAAGCCGAGGAGCCGACCGGGCCACTGCCTCCCACATCGCCAAATTCAGACACCACCTGCATTGGATGGGGATGTCTTACAGAGGCTCAACAGGCCGGAATTATCGTCTGCATCGCCGTGGTCTTTGTTGTCCTTGCATTCTCTCTATGGTTCTTCCTCAAGTCGAAGAGAAAGAAGAAGGAATGGACACATCAAGATTTCGTTCTCGTCCGCAAGGCACGCCGCCGTCGGCGCAGAGTTGATAGCCGGGCCAGCTCCGTCGTTACTCAGCCATCGATTCCGTTCCGACATAACGGCCTATCTGTTGTACAACAGCCACCGCCAATTATGATCACTCCCCCGACCTTCTTTCATATTCCTCCACCCCCTCCACCGCCCGTTCCGGTTTATGTACCGACGCCGATGCCGATTCATCCGCCTCAAACTATGTACCCAGTGGTCTACCAGCCGTATCCAAACCACGGCGTGTCCATTCAAGGCGGCTATCAAAACCCGTTTCCGCCTCAGAGAACATATGCGGCTCCTGTCGTTCAAGACAGTGGTCAAGGACAACAAGTACCACAGCCGCCTTCTCAAAACATATGGTCAACACAACCCTGGACACATCCTCGGGGTGATTCGCGTCCACAAGAGGCGTCCAGTGGACGGCCGTCACTCGCCCGCAGGCTGTTCGAAATCTTCAGCACCCCGGTAGGCAGAGCCTCGACCATTGCAAGCTCAGACTCCAATTCTCTGCATGAGGTGTCTACAAGGGACAGCCATCAATCGAGATTGTCAATGACGTCCGTCACCGACCCCCCATCCCCAGAAACACGTCGAAAGCCCGAAGCCAGTCAGAGCGCACAGAACGTTGCCTCTCCCTGCGGAGCTACTGTTGCCAGCGACGACTACGTCTTGTCCGCCGAGCGACCCGACGGCCTATCGGGAAGAACAGGAAAGAAGCAGGGCGCAACAATCAAGAAGGACTCAACCGAGTTCAAGACCTCAAAGAAGGTGCACACGACAACTGAGGAAACGAGGAATCGACAGAAGAGAAAAGAGAAGGCGAAGCTGGACGTCAAACAGGACATCCCTACCGGTCAAAGCCACCACAGAGATGAGCCTCGTCACAGCCCTCGCAAGATCAAGCCAATGAGAAGGTATGAGAAGAACCTCATGGAGGCGAAGATGGCAAAGCTAATTAGAGAAAGTGCTCTCAAAACGCGGGCCACGGCCATCCCGAGATCCAAGTCAGAGACCTCTCCCCGTATGACGGGTGCTCTAGGAAGCCCCAAGTTGGTGCCTTGACCTCCAAACCTTGCGATCTGCTGATAAGTTTCTAGAGTTGGAGGCATACCTCCACGCAGCCGACCTGCGACATCTCCAATGGCCGTGGAAGGCAGCCCGTCCAAAAGTCCAGAGTAGGAGATCTCATCTATCAGAGTTGACAAGAAGGCTGACGCGACCAGTAGGCAGAGTGAAAATCACAAAGTCGTCAAACGCAAGACGGAGACCGACAGGGATGGATCGCCCAAGAAATCTCGAAAGGACCCGATGGAGGTGACGCTTCGCACGGTCGAGATGGTTGGCCGGCTCTCGACAGGTGATCTGAGTTATCCCATACAAGGGACTCACAGCAACCAGGTCACTCCTCAGCGAGACCCTCCGAAGATCCAGGAGTACAGGTACGGTTGACTGGAGCATTGAAAGTTGCTCCCAAACTTACAGATGAGTTGTAGTACACCGTATCACAATGAGTCGGATAGCACTGATGAATTTGACGTCGACTCGCCGCCGCCTTCTCCACCAAGGCCAGTTCATCAAGGGGGCGGTCGATACGCACCAGACCAGCTTCGCCGTGTGGCATAGACAAAGTTGAGTGAAATTGCTGAAACGAACACGACGTCGTTTTGAGATGACTAGCCATGGGAAGCAAGACACATGGCAGAAACATGTTTTTGATATGAATCCATTTTGGCATGGATTTTTAATGATGGATGGAGAGGTCTCAGGAGTCTGAGGGTTGCTTGACAGGTCCACAGGATGCTCAGATGATGGAGTCAGGTTACGGCGGCAGATGAACCGCAGGGGTGTGTTCAACCAAGCCAATACAAACAAAGATTCCCCTTGACAGTTGCATGTGTGCATTCATAATTCAGAGATGTGCCGAGATGTGCATATTCCAGAACAAAACAGCGGCACTGCGGGTTGCTAAAGCAGGGGTAAGTCAGGTAGTTGTGTCACTCTGGCCCGTGCGCTGTAGGACAAAGTGGTGAGGTAAGGCACATTTGGAGGCATCCATTGGCTGAGAAGGTGAGCTGGCGAGTGAGGTGAGGTGAAGTACAAACAGGTAGGTACCTGCTAAGGTACTGAGGAATGGAAGGTGCCACCCAGTCCGGGTGCGTAAGGTAAGGCCAAAGCAGGCCCCCGGAGGTGGCTTCGTCATTGCCTGGGTCTCCGGCCGGAATGGCACTTGCACCTGCTGCACCCTGGAGCTTACCTTAGTCCAACCACCACACGAACCTCATCACCGATCAACCTCTTTCCCCCACGCCCGACCGACCTCTTGTCCGCACCTCGACCGCATCCACAGTCTGCCCTGGGACTTGGGTTCTATCACTGAGCCACTGGGATATTTTGTTCTCGACTCCGATACTCACAATCACCCGATCGCTGATTGTCGCATGCTACCGACTGCCTCCACACCCCTCCCCCGCTACACCCGGCTCAGCTGCGCATCCCCCCGGCGCGCAGCCTAACTGAGACCGCAAACCCTTTCGCACGATTGAATCACAGCCTATAGCTTTGTTTGCTGTTGTCTTCAGTCACGGCTAGCATCATGTGGAACGACGAGGACAACAACCCCTATGGGACCAGCTTTGACAGGCGGGACAGCCTGACTTCCTCCTCGGCCAACCCGGCCTCTCCTACCTCTCGTGAGTGTATGTTGCGACCATTCCCCCAATACAACACCAGGCGACCAGCAAGATTCTCAAGATGATGGAAACCATAGATCTGGATGATTCCTCAGACAGTGCTGATGCCGACTGGGAGACTCTAGACCAGCGATTCGACATCCCTCAGACCCCGTCCACTACAAGCGACGAGGCTCCCCAGAATCGCGGCCTCGGCCACGACGAGAGCGAGGTGGAGAGCAGCGACAATGAGCCTATTGCTAGAGACAGGGGCGATATCGTCCCTCGCCCGAAGCCCGGTGGCTACGAGAGTCGAGTCGAGCAGATTCTCTACGAGAACCCGTCGATGCCCATCCTCATTACGGATGCAGGAAAGAGCGCAGAGAGTGGTGGTAGATACATCGTCTACACCATTCGCACCGGGGTAAGTTGGTTGAATAGTCGAGATTACGGCTGTGTGCTGACAAGAATCTAGAACCTCGAGGTCCGCCGACGATACTCAGAGTTCGCTTCCCTGCGAGAAGCGCTTACCCGTCTGCATCCCACCCTGATCATACCACCGATTCCCGAGAAGCACACAATGGCCGACTACGCCGCGAACCCCACGAACGCGAAGCAAGACCAGCAGATTATTGACTTGCGCAAGCGCATGCTCGCTGTGTTCCTGAACCGCTGCCGGCGCATGGAGGAAGTCCGAGTCGATGGCGTGTGGTGGAGATTTCTTGACCCCAATGCTAGCTGGGTGAGTCCATGTCATCGTTGCGATAGCATTATTGTGGCTGATTTTCCTTCAGAGTGAGGTCCTGCACTCTCACCCCGTAGCCTCAGTCCCCAAGTCCGTCCTGAAGGCGCCCCCCCTGGACCCAGCGAACCCTACACCCGCCCACGCCTTCCTTCCCGTACCAGCCAGCTCCGCGAAGTTGAGAACAACGGGAGGCCCAGGTGTCGATCCCAACGCCATTGCCGGAACAGGCTCTCACGTATTTGGCCGATTCCCCCCCGACAGCCATAATCTTAGCGAACAGGAACTCGACCCGTACTTCATTACGTATGAAGCCTCGATTAAGGAACTGGAGCAACTTTTGTCTGGATCTATGGAAAAGGTCAACCGTCGGACACTCAGCCATCTGTCAGCTCTCGCTGCCGATCTCTGCGAGCTGGGTTCCAAGTTCAACGCGTTTGCGCTGTCGGAACAGGCGCCGTCATTGGGACCTGCGCTTGAGAGGGTGGGACAGGCCGCCGACTCGTCATACATTGCAACGGAAGAACTCTCCGGATCGCTCGGCGCGAGCTTTGCGGAGCCTATGCGCGAGAATGCGCAATTTGCGGGCGTTGTCCGCAGCGTACTCAAGTACAGAGTTCTGAAGCGCGTGCAGCAAGAGCAGACGAGCGATGAACTCAACAAGAAGATTGCGCTTCTTGATCAGCTGGAGCGGAGCGAGCAAGAAGCCAAACGCATTGAGCAGTACCTAAGCAGCAGTCAACAAATTACACCCCCGCCGAAGCGATCAACAAGCCTCAGAGAGGCGGGAACGTCGAACCACCAACGCGAGGGTAGCGCCGAAGATACGGCATCCATCGACTCCGACTTTCCTCCCACCCACGGTGAGCCGGCGCCATCAGCAAGCCAGGGAGTACCGCAGAGAAGCAACTCTACGCCAGGTCATAAGAAGGCCGCGAGTAGCAACTCTATCACGAACAAGATTTTCGGACCGATTCGCCATGCGATCCAAGGAGTGGCAGACGTCGACCCTGAGAGGACGCGCCGCGACATGATCGGAAAGACCAGAGAGAGCATTGAGCAGCTGGAGCAGGCCAAGGTTGTATCCGAACACGACGTCAAGGAGGCCAGCGCCAGCATCTTGAAGGATCTCAAGAGATTCCAGGGAGAGAAGGAAGAGGATTTGCGCCGTTACATGGTAAGTTTTGCGGTATCTATGACATTACCGTAGCTAACACGATATTAGCTGGCGTATGCCAAGAGCCAGATCGAATGGGCAAAGAAGAACAAGGAGACTTGGGAGGATGCCAAGGCCGAGGTCAGCAAGATTGACGAGAGCTAGGCGTGAGTTGAGGTAACGGGACATGAATTTGCGCGTGGATATCAGAACAGCTCCAGCTCAAAGCTGCCGGCTTGTTCCTATAATTTGACGAGGCGTTGATTCCGCAGGCTTGGTTGAGGTTCGCTCGTCAGTTGGCGAAACGACGAAGGTCATTTGGCGTTTACGAGGGCTTGCCGTTCGTAAAAGCCATTGTATAGTCCAAGAAATAATCAGATTAGTTCAGCTCGGTGTTCCAGAGTGAGTTCATCTTGTGACTGTGACATCTCAAAGAGAGTGTTTAGACCACTTCGTAAACATCACAAATGGCTTGGCACAGCTTGGCATATCCTTTCTCACAACGTATCCGTAGGCAGGTCCGGGCTGTCGCGAGTTCCAGGCTCCAGCACACCTAAGGTACCTACCAAGGTACGGCACAGCTCCCTGTGGTATCGCTTATCGATAAGAAACCGATAAAGCTCCGAGACTTTTCGTCGTCGCGAGGCTAGGCCGGACCTGTTTGTACTTTCTCCTTTGCGCAACACAACACACAAGATGGATGGCGTACAGCCGCCTCCAGAGGGCCCAATCGCCTCAATCGCAGAACCCGGCATCAAGGCCGAGGGGCAACTGCTCTTCGACCTGCGTCGGGAGGTTGCAAATCTCCTGCATCGCAATCAAACGAGCTTCCCCGGCGCACAGCCCGTCAGCTTCGCGCGCAAGCACCTGGACGAGCTCCGGAACAAAGAGTGAGTGCACCTTTGGCCGCCCGCGCCCATCCCTCTCGCCTGCCGTATAGGTGTCGGACAACACCAAGAGAATGAGAAAACGCGCGACGAGATTTGCTGACTCAACGCGACGAATAGTTACTACGTCTGCGAGAAGTCGGACGGCATCCGGTACCTGCTGTACCTAACCGAGGACGAGAGCGGCCGCGAGATTCACTACCTCATCGACCGCAAAAACGACTACTGGTTCATCAAGAACAGCAGCTTCCACTTCCCGCGAAAAGATGACGTGGGCAAGCACCACACGCGCACCATCGTCGATGGCGAGCTGGTCATGGATGACGTTGGCGGCGGTCAAAAGGCTCCTCGCTTCCTCGTCTTCGATTGCCTGGTTCTCGATGGCCAGGACCTCATGTCGCGCACCCTCGACAAGCGCCTGGCGTACTTTCAAGAAAACATCTACAAGCCTTATCGCGATCTGTTCAAACAGTACCCGGAGGAGAAGGACTTCCAGCCGTTCCTCGTAGAGATGAAGTCGATGCAGCTCTCGTACGGCATAGAAATGATGTTTCGCGAAATCCTGCCCAAGCTGCGACACGGCAACGACGGCCTCATCTTCACGTGCGTTTCATCCGACTACAAGCACGGCACCGACCCGCACATCCTAAAGTGGAAGCCGCCTGAAGAGAACACGGTGGATTGCCGGCTACGCTTGAACTTCCCGACGGTCCACCCGGACGAGAACTTTGACGACTTCACGGAGCCGTACATTGACTACGAAAACGTGCCGCGTTCAGAGCTGTGGAGCTTCATGGGCGACGGACAGTACCAGTTCTTCTCGGAGGTGCACATCACCGAGGATGAGTGGGAGACGCTCAAGTCCCTTGGGGATCCGCTGAACAACCGCATCGTCGAGTGCCACAAGGACGACAAGAACCGGTGGAGGATCATCCGCTTTCGCGATGATAAGGCCGAGGCCAATCACATTTCCACGATCAAGAGCGTGATGGAGAGTATCGAGGACCGCGTCACGGAGAAGGACCTGGCTGAGGCGGCCAAGGGAATTAAAGACTGCTGGAAAACGAGGAAGAGATGAGCGAGCGGCTAATCGCGTGTCCAAAACCATTCCGTGGCGGCTCCCGGAACGAGGTTGTCTGGAGGCTTCGCGAGGTCTTGAGCGGCGGGGT